GACTTGTATCTATTAGGTTGTCTACCTTTATGTTGTACTCATAATGGATCACCAATATGCATAGAAGTCAAATTTTCCTGTTGTTCGGATAATTCTGCTTTTGTATTCTCAATAAAATATTTCACTTGATCAACAAATTCATCAACCTTATCAGTTTGAACAGCCAAATCAAGAGCTTTTTTAGCATATCCCATGCCAAATCCATATTTTTGTTTAGGACCCTGCAATTGTACAACATTAGGTGTTTGCCTAAAATTCATAAGATGTTGAAATGAGGGTTGTTCTGACTCATCAGCTAGAATATTTTCTTCATTATGAAATAATACTATATTTTTCTCACGCTGTTCAATATTATACTTATTATTGTTATACCAACGGTATGAAATAAGTGATATATGAAATTGCGCATTAGTTGAATAAGACATAACACGGAAAAAGTGTCTACATATAATTCCTCTGTTAATAAGCTAAAGACAAGTACATAAATGTGAACCATCATTAAGAAGAATAATATATTGTGGTTCTGAATTTTGTCCACAATGTCTTGTTACTTTCCACACTTGTAGAATATTATTATAAAATATTCTCTACTAATAAAGAAAATAAAGATTGAGGTTGGTCATAGTCATCCTCTCTAGCTATTTCTTGTTGATAAGAATCATCCATCATCTAAAGAAAAAAAGAAAATATTTTAATTGTTAATAACTATCTTTAACTTTCATTTTTTATCAACTATTAAACTTACTTCTAAAAGTGGTTGCCAATCTTTAATTAATACAGTGTCATAGTATAATGACTGAGCCATTTGATCGCGTTGCTTTTGAAGAATTTGAGGTGTTAAGTATTCACGTAAAATTTTATCAAGATTTGGAAAGTATTCATCCATTATAAAAGGTATTCCTCTTGTTGGAATTTCATTTTTACATTCACTTAATATTGCTCTTTTTGATTGTTGGTCAAATATCTTTTGAATTTCTCCAACAACATCTGTTAAACATGAAGGCCTATTTAATTTTTCTTTAATAATTCTATTAGTTACTTCTACTCATTGTGTGCTCTGAATTCCAGCAGTAAAATTTCAGTTAATAGCGAAATGCGCCCAACTTTTTTTACAAGGATATAAAACTCTTGTAAGATATTGTTCGCAAGCTGAAAATTCATTAATAAGTTCTTCCCATCCTGTTTCAAACTTTTTAGGACATAAAGAATTACGCATTGCTAAAAATTTAGCATGAAAGGGTTTAAATTGGTCTTGCAATTTTCCCTTAAGTTTCTTTCTTAAATTCAGTTCTATATGAAAGATACAATGAAAATGATGTGTTTCCGGATAGTTCTTTTTCACAGCTGATATCAAGGCTGGATCAGCATCAGAATACAAGGTAATTGGTATAATATCACAAGAATTTTTTAATTCTTGTAGAGTCCACGAAAAAGTTGCTTCTGTTTCATCTTCCAAAATAGCCGCCGCTACTATTAAATTTCTAAAATTATTGTCAACAACTATAACTAACATCAATATCATATCAAATTGATTAGTCCTTGATGTTGTATCAATAATTACAATAT